TGAGTATATAGGTCAAGCTGTGGCGGAGGTTACCGAAGCCTGGGTAAATACATAGGTGGGACATATACTCTAGCAAAAAGTTAGTCACTGGCTTCAATGTTGAGGTTCGGTGCTGTTTCCACAACAATTCTGAAGTGGTGCAGCTATCACATCCAGGGCTTAGTAAAGCAACCAGGTGGGGTCAGGTGTTTCAGTAATCATTAGTTCTGCGGTACAGGCACCTGTCGTTTAGAAATAGTTCTCATATGCTATTTGCCGACAGGCTTAGAGTTTATCACTTACCATTTATGTTAGTTAGCTAGCATCATTTGTACACATGAATTAATTACTAAATAAATACCTGGCAAGATACGCCAAAGTTAAAAAAAAAATATATATATATATACCAGATTTTGTTTTTAACAAAATTATATAGTCGTGGATACTGGTGAAGTAAAGCATTTGACTCTCCAATGAACATACTGAATTCTTGAAAAAATAATTCATTAGTTAGTGCAGTTTTAAAACCAAAGTCTTCGAATCTTCTTTCTGTAATATCTGTTTTAAGAAATTTTGTATAACAAAGTTTCTTTAAACTAGAAAGTTTTGGCCAAGGCTTTTTAAGTACTATGTGCCAATAACTGCATGCAAATTGTTGGACACTATTTCCACCAAGATGGCACATGCTTAGAGAAAGATAAAGCCAACAAGTTAATCATTTTTAATACAATTGAAGTTCTTTTTGTACTCCTTTTTCTAACTTATGAACTAATACTTCAATTTCTGAATTATTTATAAATTCTGTATTTTGTAAAAGTTCATTACCAAAAAATAAGTGAATGTTCACAAGCTTATTTGTTGAATTAACAATAAAATTTAGCATTTGATTTGTTCTATGACCAGGTGTCAAACATCAAAGTGAATTATCAGGTTGTATAACCTTTAGTTGAGGATCATAAATGACAAGAAATTCGGCAAATGGGTAGTAAAATTTCTGACCAAATTTAACTAAATATTGGACTTTATTATTTAATTCAGAATCATTTAACCAATTCTGAAATAGTTCTCATTTTTGAATATAGGAACTTGGAACCTTTTTTAGACTTTTTAGTTTTGGAAGAAACCATGCAACAAAGTCTATATAGGCATTACATCTTTCAAGATATTGCTTGACCGTAATTAATTCGTATTGCTACCTTGATCGTAAAGAATATTGATATTTAGTTTGATAATAATTAAGCTGTACTTTATATAAGCTTTGAATTGTTTCACTTCTTATATTCAATAGCGAATCTTTATCACTTTGATTATATCTGTCATACAACATCTATGCAAGATAAAGAAGATTAAACAGATAGCATGTCTTCAAAAATCCAGTGATTGTAAAAAGTTTACTAAAGGACATTTCTTTAAAATTATTTAAAATTAAATGAAGCACATGCAACCCACAAGGAATTCGGATGCAATTACTTTTAGTAGTGTATTAAATTTTGTTACAGCACCTCCAACATGATTGCTCATATAATTTGTGTTGTCAGAGAGAAAAGTAAGACACTGTGAGGTATCAATATTATATTTTGTATAAGTTTCAATGAGGGCTTGGCTAACTTATTAGAATTACAGTATTGAAGATCTTTAGTCTCTAAAAGTATAATGTCTGATGTGTTTTTTACTGAATTCCAAAACATAAATCAATTTACTAATATTTTTTTTTACCCAATCTGACTCACCTATCATGATACTGAATATAAAATGAGTGGACTGATTGGCTTAATTGAATATATTTCTTACAAGTAATTCTGATACTTCATGATGCCAACAACTAATAGTTGTAGCAGAAATCCAAAATTGTGTATTATCTCCTGTCAAAAAATTAAAAATGGCCTTTATACTAGCTGTTATGGTGTTGAATAATATTTGTCCAATTTGAGAAAGTTGTATAGTAAGTTTAATATAATCAGTATTGTATTCTTTTTTATTTTGCTTAATTAAGTTTTTAATTACAGTTTTCATATTATTTTTTTTAATTCTAGTGGATGTCTGGCTGCTGCATAAATTTGAAATATATGCTGTTGATGTTTGAACTTAAATTGTACAAGAGGACTATTAAGTTTTTAAACTTTACAGATTATACAATTATTAGTTCATTGCAATTTTCATATATTTTGTTTAAATTGCTTGTTTTAATAATTTAATGAGTCTAGTGACTTCCCAGGTTTGTAAAGAGAATTTGATATATACTAAAATGCTTTGTTTTGTATATAAGGAGATATAATGTGATTCTTATTTTTTCTATATAAATATCTCATTGTGCATAGAAAATGAGATACCGATTTGTAATCTGTTTCAGATATATCTTGAAGAGAGTTAGTGACCGTGTTATGCAATTTAGAAGAATTAGATTTATTAATATTCAAGATATTAAATATCATATCATGTATTATTTTAAGTTCTTGTTCAGTAATTTTATTAAAGTAATTTGTTATTTTATTAATAATTTTCTTACATTGAACTAGGCTACACTTTTCTGCTAAAAATTTAAGTGCATTTTTTAATTGTAAGCTATGTTTTGAAAATTTAGCCATGATGTATAAAAGGTTTAGTATTAAAATTATAATCTTTAAAAGATAACTCTTGAAGTTATGCTTTTAGATCTTTATTTATAAACAAATACAATTATTTTTATATAGCATCCCTAAATGATTATAGAGACCAGCCTTTTTATTTATTAAGTTTTTCTAAACTTTGATCAATTAAATAGGTAATTGCTAAGATATTTTTATTCAAAGGTTAAAAAAAGTAAGAAAAATTTGTATCTATGAGAGCCCAGAATTTTATAAAACACTTTTTTACCTATTGCTTTACTATTATTATAGAGTATTGAAGTAATAGAGTGTTTTACAGATTATTCATGAGTATTTCATGATTTGTTGCATAAATCGTCATGTAGAAATAGTTATCATTTTGAATATAATGGGATTTTTATTAATCTTTTTTCTTGATAGACAGTAAATTTACCAATTCTGCCTGCATATTATTTTGAGTATATATAAGTATATAAGAGTTTATCATATACTTATGTGTTATTTAGAGTATGTGCATAGGCATTATTATGAAACAAAGACTAGGCTTACTGATATGGCATGGGTTAATTGATACAATGTGAGTTGTATTAGATATCTGGTTCAGGATTATTTTAATATGATCAAACACTCTTCTAATTTGTGTATTTACAATAGAGACAACAATTACAAGTTTGAATATGTAGAGGTATTTTTTTCTTATTAGAATTGCTACTGAATTTCTCACAATTTATTATTATACATTTGCATTATATAATTATTACAACAATATTACTAATCAATTTCTTCTATATTATCTTATTATTCTATTTGCATAATTTATCTATCATTTTATATTTACTATTACATTCTTAAATTAATTATATCGATCATGTAATATGATAACTTGGGAGTTTTTAAAATAATGTTCATTTAGACACAAGAGTTTTTAAAATAATATTCATTCAGGCACAGGACTTAAATAGAATCAATAGAGCTCAATAGATGAGTTTACCAGGGCAACTCCAAAAGTCCAGTTAGATAATCTACACACCACAGCCATATTTTAATAACAATTTGTTACATATTTTATTTTAAGAAATTTACAACAATAAAGCTGTATGTAGAAGCTAGATGATTCAACAATTTTCCAAAAAATTATGTAGTGGTTGTGGCATCTTATCATATGCCTGGACTTTTGGGGGTCACTCTGGCGAACTCTCAATAGATACTTATCCATTGAGGTTCTCTAAATTTTTTTTTCAATAAACAGTAGCAAGACAATTACAACTTTCTATCTAATTTGAGCTATTTTCAATACAAAACCTAAACCAATGCTGATTTATTTTTATATATTCCAAATTTTAAAAATATAGTGCAGAATGAAACAAATATAGCGTATATGATAGTGTGGTGAATAATTGTGAAAATAATTTTTCTGCATTACTTGCTTTATGATTTGTGGTTTACAACATGATTGTTGATCCAAACTAATAAACAGCCAATTTGCCAACTTTACATTCAGGTGATTATAAGTGGAAGTGTATTAGTAATAGTGTTGTAAGCTGATTAGTGGCTATTTAGTTCAAAAATTTATTAGACATCAAAAAAAAAACAAGAATTAGGATCTAGTTCTAAACTAGTTTCTTTAGACCCAGTACCTATTCCCAGTGAACTATTTAATATTTCTAGTAATAATACTTAGAATCAGTCTCTTAATGACTTAGCTGACTAAGCTGATGATTTAGTTAATAACTCAGTTAAGTTGTTTATAATTTTGCTATTGCAAAAAATTCTAAAATAAATTGATAATTTTGCCAAATTTACCAGATTTGTAGAAATTCGTGGAATTTAAAGTGTAGCCTATTGTTGTCCAAATGATAATTAATAATATAATCAGTAGCACTAGCCAAATTAGCTACAAAAATCTATACAATTATGAGTGAAAGTAACATATAGGTTCTTTCACAGCAAATCAGGATTTAGAAATAATCTAACTAAAATTGAGATTTTTATTAAATTGTATTTGCAAGTATGTGATTTTAAATTATTAATATATATCTAAATTTATTACAACAATCAAAATTTGATTAATCATTAGTCAATTATTAGTCAGTCAATTAACAGTGCTAATTATTTATAGATATATATAAATGCTAATTTGAGATCATAAATATGTCTTAAGGAGGATAAATTTCTAAATAATGCTACAAGAATATGTATTCATATCAATTTAATTGTATTTATTATTGAAAATACTATATACTGTAATTTATTGTTCATTATAATATTTCTATATAATAACCTCTTATCTTTTTATTTTTTTCAATTTTTTTTACTTCACAAAAATGCCACTGAGATGATCTCGCAAGCGCAATACAAGAAATACTTATATTCAAAAAATTCAAAACAAAAAATATAAAGAACTTCTTGAAGAAATTAAAGAATATAGAAGACTAATCAATAAATGAGCTCCTCAGATAGATAAGAAGGAGCTCCAGATAGTACTAATTCATCAATACTATCAGTGTCTGACTCTCGATTAGTTAAATCAGTAGAAGAAATTATAGAACAAAGAGTAGGAGTATAAAAATTAGCTTCTAAAAGATCAGTACTGTTTGATGAAAAAGAGAACTCAGTAGTTAGTGTAGGAAAATGAATGTTAGTTATATCTTCAGGAACTTCAACAGATTGATAAAATTGTTGTTTAGTATTAAATTCAAAAATTGTAATAGTATTAGGTAAAAATATAGTAACTTGAATAGAGCAATCAATATGTTTTAGTTGTTGAAAAGTTAATCCTAAATCCTCAGAATATTGAATATGCTGAATAGGTAAAGAGGAATTATAGAGTGATCAATATATATATCATAGTGATTTTGATCTATTTCTTCAATCTGTGAAATATTAGTATATAAAGTAAAATGATAAAATAAAATAAAAATTACAGGATGAGAAGCTGGTACATTATTGTTGTATCTGCAACTAAAAATAATATTACGTGTAGCAGAGTGAGCAAGTTTCCAGTTAACAGTATATAAATTTTTTAAACTTTGCTCAGGTTCTAGAATACCAATTCCAAAATCACCAAAATTTGAAAGAGTAGCTATATGTTAAGGAGAATAGCACAGTTTACATAATAAATCAGGAGAATAAGCTTGCAATACTTCAACAGCAGCAGCTATTGGGTTAATATATTCGAGTTGGTAAAAGTTGATATTGTTTTGATAAAACATTGTAAGCGAACCAGTCATAAGAATTAATGAAATTATCTTCTAGAGATAAAGTTAGTAGTAAAAATAAAATAAATGAAACATGATTTGGCCAATAAATATAATTAATAAAATAATATGCGCGCGAAGAAAGAATAAAAGAAATAGTAATTAAACAAAATAATTGACATCAAAACAGTTTAAAACAATTCAATACAATAAATACAATTATAGCTATTCAATACAATAAGCTGGCAGACTTGCAAGAGATCAAAGTATAAAATCTCCAAGTATAAAATAAAATAATAATAATAATAATAATAATAATAATAATAATAATAATAATAATAATAATAATAATAATAATAATAATAATAATTAATCAATTAAAGAAGATTATACCAAACAAATTGCTTTCTTTTTAATGTCAATCCTGCAATAAATTAGTTAGTAATATATAATCCAAGAAGAAGGCTTCTAGTAGCTTTAGTAGAATTTGCTATAATTCCACAGTTTTCTGCCAGAGTTTCTTCTTGATTATTTCCCTAAAAACAGTTGGGGTTTAGATTTACTTCCTTTCTAATGACAGTCTTAGTGTTTCCAGGATAGTTTTTAATGTTTTCTGCTAGAAGACACCAAAATGTTACAATGCTATAGCTTTCTAAGTACCAATATATCACAGTAACAAGATCACCCAGTGCAGTGATATACTTGATGAATATACACAGGGTGGAAGTAAAGGGTTGGATTACTTTACTAGCAGGAGGCAGATGATTTGAGATAGTAACAGTATATAACTTTATTAAAATAACAGATAGTAAAAAGCTTTGCCTGTAGGAATTACCCTAGAGGAGGATTATTACACTTTACAAGAGAGAATAAGAGAAGTATCTAATGCTATGAGAAAGGTATGAACTCTAAACTAAGCAGAAGGGGTAAACACACCCTTTATATATTTTTTACATGCCAAGCCAAGATAGTAGAGGGAGTTGAGGGCCATGTTGAGAAAGTTGAGGGACTTAAGGGACTTGAGGGACTTGAGGGCTGTGTTGAAGAAATTGAAGGCTGTGTTAAGAGAATAGAAGGACTTGAGAGCTGTGTTGAGGGAGTTGAAGGCCATGTATTGTCTTTGATACTACCTTGTCTATTTTAGCCACAATATGTGCCACAGTGGCTTTATTTTAATATTTTGCTTAATAAAGTCTCTGTTCACTCTTGTGCCAATAATAATACATAATACAAATATAATAATAAATATTCAATATAAAATATAAATATAAACTAAATAAAATAATATAAAATATAGAATCTAAATTATGTGCTACACTAAACTAATCTATGAAAACCTATTTCACAACAATAGAACCTACTTGCTATTATAATGACAAACTAACTATATACTAGGTTTCATCATAATAATGAATAGGATCAGTAATAGAATTTTTACAGTAGTTTACAATAGAAATCACAATAATTCCAATTCAAATTAACTATATACTGGACATTACTGCAATAATAAGTAGGTTCTTACAGTAAATCATGATAGAATTATGATAATCTTAATTCAAACTAAATTATTTTACTACATACTGAATGTCAATATAATAGCAAATAGGTTCAGTAACAGAATTTTTTAATAAATTATAATAATTTTAATTTAAACCAACTCAGCCTTGACTACTTGCTAGTTGACTAAATAACAAGTAATTTCTGTAATAGAATTTTTTATAGTAAATCATAATAGAAAGCATGACAATTTCAATTCAAACCAACTTAATCTTGGCTACATACTGGGTGTCACCACAATTGTAAACAGGTTTGTAATAGAATTTTTACCATAAATCACAATAGCAATTGTTATAATTCTAAACTAACTCATCTTTGATCACATACTAAATGTTCTTTAATACATTAGGCTCTATAACAAAATTTTTTAGTAAATCACAATAATTCTAATTTAAACTAATTCTACATTGAACACCTATTAGATGTCATTACAATAGTGAATAAATTCTGTAATAGAATTTCTAGACCAGGATAAAATTGCCACCTGAAAAAAATTTGATATCGATTATTGGTGCTAAAGTAAAAATAGAACATTGGTTTATTATTTATTATTTTAAATATAATAAATCAATGTCATATCTTTTTCTAGCATTACTTATATAATAGTCAAATCTCTCTATAGTTACATTCACAGGATACAAAAAAGCAGATAGTACTAATTATAGATAGCTTTATAAAAAATAAGCTTATAAAGATGTGTTTATATAGAAGGTGACTATAGGAAGGTTTGACTATAACTGATATTTTAAATTAATTGATATTTTTTTTAGATACTACTCTTAGTTGTTGTTAGAGTTGTGTCTTCTGAAGTCATGACTAAAGTTATTGTTACTATTGTACTGTTCTTTTGACTCCTCTTTAGAATTTGTATAATAAAGGTGACAATATATTTAAGACTTGCTGAAGGCAGTAATTTGAATAAGCAGTATAATTTCAGATTCTATTACAATCAAACATGCATAAGTACAGTAAAGAATAAAAAAAAATATTTGTATAGTCTTTAAAATCTAAAGATAGCATTTTGAATAAACAAGTTGATGTTATATTTTGCTATAAAATAGCAGATACAGGCAAGTATTAAAAGAAGAAATTTGAGTCATATTTGAAATTTACTAGTGACAATTCGGATAGTTAAGCTAATATTAGATTATATTATAGAAATGTTATAGATAGGGTTCATATCAAACCAAATCAAATCAAACTTTTGCCAAGTTTGAGTTTGGGTTTAATTTCAAATCAAACTCAAACTCAACCTTTTTTTAAAATTAAGTTTGGGTTTAAACTTTTTAGTTAGGTTTGATTTGATTTGAATTTGATTTCAAAGTTTGACAAACTGTTTGAGTTTGAATTATATATATATAAATTTATATATTAAATTAATTTTATTTTTCTTAAAATTTAAAGAAAAAATGCTTAATTTTGGAGTTTTTAATCAAAATTCAAAATTAAGCATCTTTTTTTAAAATTTAAAGAAAAATAAAATTAACCATGCCATAATAATGTATTTTATATACTAAACAGATTTAATTAGAGCACAAATATATTATTTATTAATAGAATTTTATTTATATTATTTTTTTGATAATTTTATTAGTAAAATTATAACAAATAGAGGTATAGTGAATTAGTGTAGTGGTCTAGTCATCATCCTCTCCAAGCGACAGATCTAGAGTTCCAATCCCACATATAATAATATTTGAATAAAATTGAGCCTGTATTTCAGTTGATAGTTATGATTATCAGTTGGATCTAGAATCAAATCTGTAACCTTAGTCACACTATCTAGTTATAGGAGCCTTGGAGCAATAAATCCAAAGAACCAGATTAACTGAAAACCTATTTAGGAAGTCCTAAGTTGGGAGGTAGCATAATCTTTAACAGTACTACAAGAAGGCTAAATTTGAACTGGTAATCAAGATTGGAGAACTGAGTGACCAATTTGGACACACCAGCTGAACTGCCAGGTAGACGCACCAGAGAAAAAGAATATACACTCTGAAAGTATATACCAAGAGAAGGGCAACTATAAGGCACTTAAAGCCTAGGCAGACTGACCCTTCCAGGTTGCCAGCTAGAAGCAGAGAAACCCATAAAGAATCCAGAGAAAAAGGAGATCTGAATGTAGGTATTGGGGTTGTGTAAACTGAATAAGGGCAAGTAATTGTAGAGGTTCAATAGTTAGCCCTGACCCCAAGTACATGAGTGAAGCTGTGGCATAATTACAGTAAGTCTAAATAGCTATATACAGTGTTGGCACTGGATATATATCCAACTATTTTTATACTATTGGACTGTTGGACTGGACTATACATTGGACATAATACTTGGATATATATCTAGCCCAATATGTCCAATAATTTTAAAAAATATAAAAAAATCTTTGGTAAAAATATAGTCTAACAAAAAGCATTTTTTGGGTAATTTTACTATATATTTTACTAATTTCTAGCTCTAATTTAAATATTAACCGCCTAGAAGAATTAGATAATAATGGTACTTTAACATTTAACCAGAGTACTTCTAGTTCTTGCGGAATCATGAGAGCTAGATATATGGTAAGCAATTCAGTAGAAGACTTACCTAAGATTCATATTAATATAACTCCTACATCTTATGATCCACTTATTTGTTACAATCGATTTTTTATATCTCAAAACTGTCCTCCTATCGAAAGCCCACAAACTCTAAACTCTTTTATCTTACACTTATTTACCATTGGTCTATGAAACAAACTATATGAAAAAATTGTTATATCTGTTAAATCAGACTTTAGTGAAGCTCACATCTACATACCTGGAGAACCCTGCCCTTTATCATATCATATTATTATACCTTATTATAAAACTATTTATTTCAAACTTTCTATTCCTCTTAGATTATACACTCATAACTTTCTATATTAAATAATACCCACAATTCTGTTTCTAACTTCACTTCTAATAGTCCCAACTCTTCTTACTTCTCTTTTAATCTTTCAATCTGTATTTATAATATTTGTGGCCTTAATCAAAAACTAAAACAACAAGTTTGGAAAGAATATTGTCTAAACAATCTTGATATTATTTGCTTGTCTGAAACAAAACTTGCTTCTAATCCTTTTTACTCAAAACCACATTCAACTTTCTCTTTTACTTATTACTAGTCCTGTACAAACAGCTCCAAAGCTGGAACTGCTATTATAATTTATAATCATTTTATCCCTATTTCATAATATAGTTACTCTAGATATGCTATGTATATAGATCTTTTTTTTAAACATGATTTTAAATTTCACATCATTTCTATTTATTTTCTTAGTAATAACTCCACTACAAGACTCTACACCCAAAATCTTATAATTGAATGGATCCAACAAGCAATTTCTTCTAACTTACTTCCTATTGTTCTTGAGAATTTTAATGCCTCTGCAAATTCAATACTCTCTTCTTCTAAACTTCTTCAATTCCTTACTTTTAATAACATGTACAATTTAGCAG